ATCCCCAAGAACAGGAGGGAGACGCCGGGCCGGGCCAGCGGCAGCCGTGTCCAAGTGCTGTCCAGGCCCGAAAGCTGATGCGCCACCACCTCACACCAACAGAGGGCACCAGGCCCTCAGCAGTTTGCTGTGGGCAGCTCCCAGATGCCGGCCAGATGTGGGCAGCTGGGCTGCGGGAGGAGGCGAGAAGCTGTACCGGAGTCCCTGCAGGGTACCCGGTAGGAGGGAGTGAAAAAGAGACCACAGGGGAACGGGTGGAGGCCGACTGCACCATTGTTACTCCCAGATTGCCATCCCTATTGGCAGAAGGGGTGAGGGGAGCCTTTTGCCCAGAGGCGGCGCTGCTCTCTGATTCCCGCCCCGCAGCCGCGTGTGCTGGCAGCGGCGCCGCTGTGTGGCTCGCTCAGCAAGGCCGAGCGAGGTCCTCGGGGTTGAACGCCCGCCCCGCCAAGAGACTCCTAAGGCAGTCGGCCGGGGGAAAGAGCGACCTTGAAGTCCTTGAACTTTTTGGATAACTGTCCTCCAGGAGCTCAACATAATACGCACGCGCGCGCGCGCACCCACACCAGATCATCCCTAGGCCCTTTCAATACTGCGCGCGATGTGCATTCAAAGGGGAGAAACTGAGGCTCAGCAGGACGACAGAGCACCGAGTAGACCCCCACCTCCCAATCAGCCGAAGAGGAGAAGCTGGGCTAGAGAGCCGCCTGAAAGCTCCAGTTAAGGACCTCTTCCCCCCACCCCACCCCACCCCCGCGTCTTCCAGACCTGCCTGCTGTCCCCCCACCCCAGCCGCTCCCTGGGTAATCAGCTGCTGTGCGCGGCGGTAATTGACGGTGCAGACCCGGTCTGGCGCAGGGGCGGGCGAGGGGCTTAATTGCAGGGCTTTGGCCCGCAGTCTGGGCTGCTCCTCCGCTGCGGGGGGGTGGAGGGCGGGGAAGAGGGTGGGGGGGGATAGGCCTCTTAATGCTGCAGGTCCGGCTCTGGAGGAAACCTAAGGCCTTTGAGTCAATAGTTGGGAAGGAGGAGGCTAACTCTTCCCGTGAAAGTGTGGGTTGAGTGTTGGAATTGAACCCCAACAGGGGTGCGCGGTGGGAGGGGAGGGGGTTGAAGTAGGAGTGGACGCTCCCTGCCCCAGCATCTGCAGCCCGGGTTCATCTTGTCCGATGCTCCTCCCTTGTTTTGACCACCCTTTGCTCCCCTTTCTGCCGCCCCCGTCACACACACACACCCCTTCTCGTGTCCCCGGGGCGCTCCCACCCTGGGGAAGAATGTGCCCTCTTAGCGCACCCTTGCCATGGTAACGGCACACCCCCGCCCCCGCGCACCACGGTGGCTGGGCCTGGCCCTCAGGGCTGCAAGAAAAGGTGGGGGGGGGGGGGAGAGGCGCCTCCCAGCCCCGCGGACACACCTCGGCTGCCCTAGTTGCTAAGCAACCGGGGGCGTTTGGATGTACGTAGTGGCCAAGTGGCTGAGGGCCCTTGTGACTACCCCAATGCTAACCCACGGGCAAGAGAGCTCTGGCCCACCCCACCCCAGCTTCTGGACAGGGTCCAGAGAGGGATCCTGGGGTGTCCCACCTTCCGTACATAGGAAACCCCAGAAAAGGCCTAGCCCAGGGTCCTAGAGAGCCGGACCTGAAAAGGGATCTCCCGGTCGCCAGCCCGGTCCCCTCCCCCCCACCGCCAGCAGAACCCAAGGGGGGCGCTGGCAGCAGGAAGCTGGGGAAGGACGAGAGGCGCGCAGGCCCCACAGCGGAGCGGTGATTACAGGGACCTGTCCTTCCCGCCCCCGGCTCCCACTCTCATTAAGTCATTTTTTCCCCTGTTGGAAAGTCCCCTTGCCTTGAGCGCTGGGGCTGCGGCGACCGCAGGCAGCTGCCGGCAACCACATGAGAAGTGGGGGGGGGGGGAGAGAAAGATGGGTTCCGCGACCAGGGCCTGGCCACTCTCCAACGCGGAAGGGCCCCCTGCCAGGGGCTAGCTGGGATCATTGATTCGGGAGGAGTTGGGAGCGCCTGGATGGCCCTGACCTTGCTTCTTGTGGCACTCCTGCAACTGCCAAGTCTACCTTTGAATGCCTGCCTCTCCCTCCGCCCCCTCCCAAGGTGCCCTGGCGACAGAAAAGCAGAATGCTTGCGTTCTGATCCTCCTCCAGCCTGGCAGCGGCTCCCTCACCCTTAACCCCACCACTGTCTTCTGGGCTGTCCACTACCCTCATTTTGTTAGTTCCCCTCCCTCCCTCTCTCCTTTGGGGACAATCTAGACTCCATTAGGCCCTACGAATACTTCTGTCTGTGTAGGTAAAAGATGTTGGGGGCAAGGGAGGTCCTCTTCCCTTCTGAATTATCTCTGGCCACATTCTGATCTCCCAAACTGTTGCCAAGTTCTTCCCATCTCAACTCCCACCTAATTTCAGCCCATTTCCTTTCTTTGTGATCAGCACATTGATTCCTGCTGCACACTTCTGCCAGATGCATAAGCCCAGTGCCTCTTGAATCTTGTTTTTCCCACCCCCCACTACCTCCACATCTCTGATGAGGGCTAGTTCCAACTTCTACACACCCCTTTCCCATTGTGGAGTCTAGCCTTGGTCCCAGGGCACAGCCACCTTCTGACCCAATGGCAACACTCTACTTGTCTCTTTCCCAACTTTTCCTCCCCTTGTAAACCAGCCACACTAACTTGTAAACTTGTATCAGATCCTCATGATTTGACTCACTAGAACATGTCCCCTCTCCCACGATACAATGCCCAGCCTTCTGCCCTGTCACCTACTCTTCCCCCCAGAGGTGGTATGCTCTGTTGTTCTGTCCTACCTTATTCTTTCAACTTGATCTTAAAGTTCTCACTTCCTCTCCCTTCCCTCAGCTCTGTAAGCCTAGAAGGCAGAGGAGGGTGAGACTAAGGCTAATGCTTAGGGTGATGGTACTATCCCACCTCTCTAATTCCCCCTGCCCATCTCACCTTCCTGGAATGGAGGGAGGGGGCAGGGAACCCAGCCCCCACTACTCTGCTGGGTGAACAAGAGGAAAGGAATGAGGCAGGTGTGTCTAGCTGCTCCTGTGCACCCCTCCTCCCCAAAGACTCTCCCTGCCTGCCTGTGATGCTGTCTATGGGAGAGAGGAAGAGAACCCTGTTCTTCACAAAAGTGGCAGAATGGAGCTTTCAAGAAGGCCTGCTGCCTTGGCCGTGCCTAGGAACTTCTAGGATGCACTTGGAGGGTAAGGAGTTGAGGACAAACTCATGGGGACAAATCTCCCAGCTGGAGGAACCACAGGGGTATATAACCCTTCTTACTTTCCCTCCACCCACAGATAAGGAGGATGGGGCAGAGGTAGGGAAATATAAAGGATTTGTGCAAGCCAGTCTGGAGAAGAAGAAAAAAGGAAAAGTATCAGTTTCTGGTTGATCAAGAGGGGTGCCATTCTGGGATAAACAAGCAGCCAGCAAGGCTCCAACTACAAGCAGCAAGAGGCCCAGATGAATTAAGTACTGTGTTCTTACTCCCCCCACCCCCATCTTGGGGGTCTGTTTCAGGGTGTCACTAGATAGGAACCAAGAAAAACACAACCCTGGACCTACACTTCTAGCTCAGCAGTGTCCTGATGGAGGCACAAGATGTATGTGAGGTTATTAACCTGATTAAGGGGCACCCTGAGTTGGAGGCAACAGAGACCCCGAAAGCCTAACCCTCCTGAGTCTTAGTTACACATCCTGCCTCCCTGGCCTGCTCTCCAGAGCCCAGCTCCAGACAGTGAGTCTGCCGCCTTCCTCCACCAGCCTCTTCCCAGCCGCACCTCCTGGCCCCACCTGCTCCCTGGGGCGTTGGGCTGGGTTGAGCTGGGTCTTGCCCAGGATTACTCCTCTCAGAGTGCCTCCTGTCTCTGCTGACGGTTGCTGCTGGGCACGGCCACTCGTCCTGGCTTGTGGCAGAGGGCTCAGGCACAAAGTGGGCGGTTAGAGCCCTGGCACCTAGCGCTTGGATCCCTGGATCTGGCCCTTTCTCAACATCTCCAATGCTGCCATCCAGTTCAACTATGTTTTGTAATGATTGTTATAACCCCTTACTTAGCTTTCCAGCTGTTACCCATGGAACTGATCTCCTGGGTCTCTGTTTAAGACTGAAGATTCTCATTCTTCCTAAATAAAATCTCTACTCCTTTAGGTGGGCATAGACAGACACATAATGCAAGCTTTACATACCCTCTTAGCTTTTCTGCTGCTGGATAGGCCCCTAGATGTCTCTCTCCAGTCCAAATGGCCTCTTTGCTGTTTCTCCAACAGCAGAGCTCCTTCTCCCCTGAGAGCTTTGGCATCCCACAGACACTACCCAGGAAGCCCTTCCCTTCCTTCTCTGCATGGCTCTCTTTCCCTCGTGGCAGGTCTCAGCAAGAAATCTTGCCTTTACAGGAAAGGCTCCCACTCCTCTCCACTCTCCATTGGTCCCTTGCTTTATTTTCCTCATAGCCCACAGCATTATCTGAAAATGCCCTTGCTGATATGTTTATTGGTTTATTGTCCAGCTCCCTTAGCAAGCATGTAAACTCCAAGATGGCCTCTCCTCTCCCCCGAGGCCCATAGAAAAGATTGCAAAAATAAATATCTGCTAAATGGAGGGACAAGGGAGCGTGTCTGGGATCTTTTATAGAACCACTTCAGCTCAGTTGTGTCCAGCTCCTCTTTTTAATCTTCCTCTCCCAGCCCATCCGTTTCAGTTCATTTTCTCCCACTCCAGGGGAAGGGGAGATAGGTCGGAGAGGCTGGGCTGCCTGGCTAACACTTGTATGGGGCAGGAAGAGGGGAGACCAATCAATCTTAGAGCCCATCCAAGTGGGCAGTGGGGTTTAGATAGGCGTGGACTGTCAGGTGATTGTAGATTTTTCAGAGCCGGGAGGTGCCACCTCCTCTCCAGGAGCCAAGGGCGATGCCGTGCCGGCGCCCAGATCTCAGGCGGCAGGGGCCCAGGCTGTAGAAGGGGCCCCTCTCTCGGGATCAGGCTCACTTGCAGACACTGACCCACTCGGTGATGCGGCACTCCTCGCAGACCACGAAGCAGCACCAGTGGAAGCGGCAGTGGCAGCGCTCGCTGCGCGTCTGGCGCAGGATGTTGTGGCCGCGGCCGCAGCACATGCTGCCGCAGCCGTCCGCGCCCGCGCTGCTCTTGTTGCACAGGCGGCCCACGGTGCCCGCCGAGTCCAGGCGCGGCTCGCGCTCGCAGAAGTCGGGCGACTTCTCGAAGTAGACCAGGTCAGCGGGGCTGGCCCGACGTCGCGGCCCCGGAATGCCCGGCGGCGGCGAGGGTGCCCCCGCGGGGCCGGGTTCCAGCTGGCCACCGTTGCGGTTGTGCGGCCGGATGAGCGTGGCGCGGTGGAAGCGGCTGCGCAACAGCGCCCCCACGGCGCGGAACTCGGGCGTCACCTGCCAGCACGTCTTCAGCTGGCAGCTGCCCGACGTGCCGTGGCACTTGCACTTTCGCCGCATGTTCTCCATCACCGCCTGCGGAAGGAGGAGGCAGGTGAGGCGGGACGCGGGGCGGCCATCCCCGGGCCCTCCTCTCGCCTCGGAGACTGGACTGTGAGGTGTCAGAGGCTTTTGAAACTAGCTCCATTGCACAGATGCCATCACTGATCCCCGGCCCCTCCAGCTGCGCCTCACAACTCCCGAGCTTAACAACCCAAACTCCCCGGCTGTTCTCCCACCTACCTCCCACCAGGCTAGGCCTGGGGGAATTCCCTCCTTCCTGCTCTTTTCCTATCTGGCTTGCCTTTTCCCCGCAGCTGCAGGGGCCCCTTGGAGCTGGGGGTTGTAGATTCCTGAGCTCTTGGGGATCCCGGATCTTCAGGGGAATTCCCTCTCCCTCCATCCCAGAAGCAGGGGGTTGTCTTCCCTCACTACATCCCAGCCCCAAAGGCTCTGGTCTCTCCCCAGGCTGTGAGCAGGGAGTTGGGGGGGGGGGGAGGGTCTCTTAGAGAGGCTGAGAAAGATTGATCACCACCACCATTACCATGCTGAACACAGCTCTTTGTAGGGTGCCTCCTCCATGAAACTGACCAGGGTTGTTATTCTGCCCTATGTTGAGTGGCCACAGGGGCCCCAAAGCTCTATGTAAATACAGGAGGGAGAGCAGCGGGCCAGCCAGGCTGTCAGAAAGTAGAAACAGGTTCCTAGACCACCAAGGGAGATGGTTATGGAGAACACAACCTACCTGCCTCCCACCCAGTGCTCAACCTGCTCTCCAACCTCCTCCCAAAGAACTCCTTGGCATTATCCTTGCCAGACATCCTACAGGAAGTTGGCCACATCCTCCCCTCACTACCACTTCACTGTTCAAACACTTCTCAGGAAGAACAAGGATCTGGAACCCCCAAAACTGGGCAGGAGGGCCATAGGAGAGGGAGAACCTGCCCCTCTGGGTCACGGAGAGCCACGCCACTTGCATGTGTAGCCTGTGGTGCCAACACCACGTGGGAACCAGCCCAATGCTTCCCCAGGCCAACAGCTCCAGAACATCTGCTTCTCACAGGCAGCAGCCATTAATTAACCAGTTTAACGAGGATGAGGAGGAGGCACTGTTGGTAGGACTGGGGTGGTATTGAAGCTTGGGAAAGGGGCCACAGGCACAGAGAAGGGCTGGGGAGGATCTGAGAGTAGGTGTGCCTCAGTTTACCCTGCCTCACACTCAAGATGGCAATTGCTGAATCAGCTAGGCATCTATGTGGGAGGAAGAAGGAGTGGGCTAGGAGGCCAAGGGAAAGTAAGAGCAAGAGAAACCAGGAATGAGGCTTCCTGAGCAGGCTAGGCGGGGCCAAGAGGAGGGATGGGGATGGAATAGCCAGTAAAGAAGGTGATGAGCTCCAAGAGGACCAATAAGGTATTACAGCATTGCCTGGACCTCTGGGTATGAGTGCACAGGGAAACTGTCACAGTCACTATCTCATTAGTTGCATCACCTTGAGCAAGCTTCTTGGTCAATCTGGGCCCTGATTTCCCTATCTAAGCATGTAGCTGGTAGCAAGGCTCTTGTCCAAGGTAGTTGAAAGGATTAAGTAGGTAAAGAGCTCAGGACAGTGTCTGACAGTAAGCACTCAATACATGCAGTCTGTTGTGCAGAGAGTTCTTCCCTTTCTTCTCCTTTTTATTCATGTATTTAATTTCTTTTTGCATGGTAGTAGTATGAGCATCCGAGGGCAGAGGGCAGAGAGGACAGGAGGAAGGCAACTGGAACACAGGAGGTGGGGAAGGGGTGGCTCAGGGAATCTTGCTTGGCCCTCTCAATCTGCAGGAATCACTCATGCCAGATGTGCACAGAAAGCTTGAGATCCAAGACCACAGCCACAGGGGACCAAGGAACAATGGAGCTGGGGGACCTGACTCAAGATGAAATTCCGTCTTCTGGCTCTATTGGGGAGGAGAAGGCATGGCAGCCCAGACCTACACCTTTGAGTTAGCTCCTGCCAGTTCAGTCCTTTGTCTGAAGATCACCAGAGGAAATGAGAGCAAGCTGCTCAGCGGGACTGTGCTGATGCCCCAGCAGGGTTGTCTAAACCCTGTTGCCTGGTGCACAGAAGATCCTCAAGGCATGCTCGCAGACTGAATTAGGAGGGAGCAATGGGAAGACTGCTGAATCAAGAGAAGGCAGAATGGTCCCCAGAAAAGAGAAAGGACTGGGGGTGGGTTGGGGGAGGAGGGAGACAGAACCTATGCAGAAGGATGGGGAGGGGGTCTGGGGTGGGATGGGGCTCTCACCTGCCTCCCAACTCGGTTGTTGTGGAGCCTCATGCGGGCGTGGATGTCTCTATGAGGCTCCCGGGAGTCTAGAAAGTCCTTAGAGAAGCGCTCCCCGAAGCCTACATCGGGGCTGCAGCCGCCCCACTCCCAAGAGTCCTGCAGGCCTGGGCTGGCAGGAGGCAGGGCAGGGTGTTCTGGGACCCCATGGCTCAGGCCTTTACCGCGCTGCAGCGCGTCCAGCTGCAGGCGGTGCAGCTTGCGACGGAAGGCCTCCTCGTCCCCGCGTCGCGACGCATCACAACCGCAGGCTCGAAGTTTGCCCAGGGCGCAGGCGTTGGACACCGCGTGCACCACTCCAGCTGCGGCGATGGCATAGGCGAAAGCGCTCTCTCGGAAACCTGCAGTTAGTGACCCAGAAAACAGAGACGTTGGAGAGGCCACGACATCCCATACGTTTTTTCTACCCACCCGGTCCAAACGTGTTACATCAAGGAGAAACTGAGGCCCAGCGAGGTGGTAGTCTAGGGCAGATTCCAAAAAGGGCAGAAATCTAACCAAAAGCCGGCATTCTGCACACAGGATCTAGTGAAGATGTTTCCCCCAGAGCACTCTAATTTTTACAACGGCCCCATTCCCCCCTCCCCTTACTAGCATTACCCTTAGCAAGTTCAGAATTTGTGTCGATCTCTTTCCTCTAGGGCAGAAAGTATCGAGTAAACACATTCTTTTTCGGATCAAGGAATTAATCTATTGCCTTTATGGTGATATCTGTAATTTTAAAATAGCCTAGAGAAAGAAGGCAAGGTTTAACCTAAAGAGTAAATTAACTGTGATGGAATTCTAGGCCCCAAGAGATGCCAGTGGGCAGGAGGGGGGAGTAAAGCGAGTTAGATAGTCTGCTACTACAGAGCCCTACCCCAAGGTTGCCTTCTGGTGTTAGTCTACCATAGGCCCAGCCTAAGAACTATCTCCACCCCTGGTCCATAGGACAGGCCTGAGAGCCACCCTGCCTGTTTGTGATGATATAGGTGAATCCAATACTAGTAGTGTTGAACACAGAAGGGGAAGTCACCTTTCACTATATGCTCAGGAGGGACAAGGACTGTCTTTCTCCTTGTCCACAGTGTTTCCTTCTTGATGCTTCAGCTTGGGCCATCTAGGAATGCCCTGGACCTGTGGGTGGCCAATGGCCAACTTTCAGGGATAAGTTCATCCCTCAGACCAGCAGACAAGGGATTCCTCCTCTTTTTCTCCTCCTCCTCCTTTCTCTTCCTCCTTCCTTCCTTCATTCTTTTCCCTCCCTCCCTCCCTCCTTCCCTTCCCTTCCTTCCTTCCTTCCTTCCTTCCTTCCTTCCTTCCTTCCTTCCTTCCTTCCTTCCTTCCTTCCTTCTTTCCTTCCTTCCTTGTGCCAGCCCTGGGACTTGTACTCAGGGCCTAGGCACTGTCTCTAAGCTTCTTTTTTGCTAAAGGCTAACTTGAGCCAGAGCTCCACTTCTGACTTTTAGGGAGAGGGGGTAGTTTATTGGAGATAAGAGTTTCATGGACTTCCCTGTCCAAGCTGAGAAACAGAAAAATACAGAAGTGGTACTGTGGTGAAAGAGGGGGGGGGGGGAGAAAGAAAGAAAGAAAAGAAAAAAAGAAAGGAGAGAGAAAGAGAGAGGGAAAGAAAGGAGCAAAAGTACCAGGGATAGGCTGAGATCTGAGGCTTTCCTTTCTTTCTTTCTTTTCTTTCTTTCTTTCTCTCTCCCTTCCTTCCTTCCTTCCTTCCTTTCTTCCTTCCTTCCTTCCTTTCTTCCTTTCTTTCTCTCTTTCTTTCTTTCTTTTTCTTCTTTCTTTCCAATCTTGGGGCTTAAACTCAGGGCCTGGCACTGTCCCTAAGCTTCTCTTTGCTCAAAGTTTCTCTACCACTTGAGCTACAATGCCACTTCCAGCTTTTTCTGTTTATGTGGTACTGAGGAACTGAACCCAGGGCTTCATGCATTGCTAGGCAAGCACTCTACCATTAGGCCACATTCCCAGCTTCCTTGACACTCTTTTTTTTTTTTTCCTCCTCCTTCTTCTTCTCCTCATAATAGTGAGGATTGAACCCCCTAGGCCTTGAGCATTCCAGGCAATACCATTTCAGCTATGACTCCAGCCCTAGCCCTTTTTGTTGTGTATTTTGTTGTTGAACTAGGATCTCTTCTCTCTCTTTATTTTTTCTTCCTGGATTGGCCTCTAAAGTAGCCAGTATGAGAGGTGTGTATCTCCATGCTAGATAAGCTGAATATTTCTTGATTATTAAGTGTCAAAGAAAAGACTAGATAGAAACAGTTTGTGGTACAAGTCTCCAACAAGCTCTGGACCCCAGACAGGGCAGGCAATGGAGAAGCTGGGCGTAAGAACAGCCCACACAGAGGGAAGAGATTCCAGCTGTTCCATGGGTCCCTGATCTAGAAGCCAAAACCTGGAAGAAGGCTCATGATCTTGGGAGAGGCCAGATATTCAGAGGAAACAAAAACTCTGGGTCCTTCCACCTCAGCATGAAAGATTTGGAAGAACATGCTTTCAGAGGTCTCACAGACCTTAGAGAACTAATCAGGACTGGACAGAAATCCCAGCCTTCTTAATCCTTACCCTCAGTATCACAGAGCTCAGTCCTCCTGCAATAATAATAATGATGATGATGATGATGATGATGATGATGATAATAATAATACAGATACTGCAAGATGGTTAGTATTTAAGAATTATACTCTGGAGCCAGATTACCTAGGTTCAAACCTGGTACTTCCACTTAGTAGTTGATAATAGCTATATAATCATGGCCAAATGTCTTAACCACCCTCAGTTTCTTCACCTGTAAAACTGTTATGCCTCCGGCTGGGAAGGTGGCTCAGTGGTAGAACGCTTGCCTTGCATGCCTGAGGCCCTGGGTTCGATTCCTCAGCACCACACAAGCAAAAAGAAGAAGGCCGGAAGTGGCACTGTGGCTCAAGGGGTAGAGCACTAGCCTTGAGCTGAAGAGCTAAGGGACAGTGCCCAGGCCCAGAGTTCAGGCCCCACGACTGGACCCCCCAAAAAACCCAAAAACTGTTATGCTTCATTGTTGTTCTAAGAATTAAAGCCAGGCACTGGTGGCTCACACTTGTAATCTTAGCTATTCAGGAGGCTTAGATTGAGGACCATGGTTTGAAGCCAGCCAGGGGAAGGAAAATTTATGAGTCTCTTATCTCTAAGTAGCTACCAAAAAAGCTGGAAGTGGAGCTGTGGCTCAAGTGGTAGACACTAGCCTTGAGTGAAAAAACTCAGGGATAATACTCCAGTCCAGAGTTCAAGCCCCAGGACTAGCATGTGTGAACACACACACACACACACACACACAACACACACACAAATTAAATAAGTTAAGGTCAGTTAAATAAGTTAACATGCTTAGAATAGTGCCTTACTCATAGTAAGTGCTAAGTAAACATCAGTTATTATTAAGAAGTTCCTTTTGCTATCTGACCTCAGTGAACCCTGCTACACTTTGAGATCATTGTTTCACCTTGATCCTTTGATCAGAGTGCAGAAGCTCATGATCCATTTCTAAACTAAACCATTCAGATTACTGGAAGACTAGGAATCAGGCTTTCCCTCCCTAGCTTCTCATTTTAGTGCATGGTCTCTTGGTACCTTTATCCATAAGAAGCCCAATGAAGAGCCGCTTTGAGGGGAAAGGATTGTGCTAGAGCCTTCAAAGAGGATGCTGGGAATTGGCAGGAGCTTCTTCAGAGGAGCAGAAACAGCTATGGGGTGGCAGGGCCCTTAGGCCCTTCCCCCTTAGGGAAGGAGGATAGATCCCAAGTCTCTGGGAAGTACACCCTGCATTTTATCATGGGAACTCAGAGTACTTCTCTTATTGCTAGGGGAATCATCAGCCTGCTTTAGTACACATGGCAATACTCAAATCTCAGAAATCACCCCCCCTCCACACACACACACCACAGCTACTACCAAACACAAGCATATACTATGGAAAATGGGGGAGCCCAAGCCCTGGTAGTTCAGTTCTAAGTCCCTGTCTACTTTTGGCACCAGGGAGTGCAAGAAGAGGGTCAAGGGGAGTGTGCAGGGCCAACTACCATCTTCCAGGCTCTGTCAAGTTCAAGGGCAGGCCTGGAGGGACATGGAGAAATGTAAACTTACAGCTTGCACAGAACATCCTACTCCATGTAGCTGGAGACCTTCTCCCACACTACCCCCATGGCCTCTGACAGCTGTCACAGCCACGTGCGGAGGTGACCAGGCAGGGCCTGTTTAGCCACCCTCTCTGCCACAAGTATCAGGCGTCAGAGAAGTCCAGCCCACTGGGTCTGTCCCCAGCTCCTGTTCAGGGCCCCAGTTTCGATCCTGCCCCCGACTGTCTGGGGCAGACAGGCACTGTGCCATCTGGCCAGCTGGAGGGGGAAAGGGGTGGGGCCATGGCCAGCTGGGCTGCCCGGAGCAGAAGGGGGGGTGTCTTGTTAAGACGCACAATTAGCCGCCCTCCCTTTGATCTGGGACAGGGACTGCCAGCATCTAAGTGGAGTCAGCTGCTGCTACAGGCTGCATGCAGCCAATAGCCAGGAAAGGGCTAGAGAAGGAGGCTTAGAGGGATAGAGAGTATAGAAGAAAGAAGATTCAGGGGCCAGCAGGGAACTAGGAGGGGTTAGGGGTTAGAGAAGCTAAAGCTCCTCCCCTTCTAATCAAAGAGGGAGGAAAGAGAAGTCTGGTCTCCATTCCTTCCATGCTAATAACTCATGTGCTGGTGTGCCTAGTCAGTGAGAGGGAGGGAGGAAGAGAGGGCAAGGGGGGCAGGGGGGAGGGGGAGGGAAGAGAATGAATTTTGTGCATGTGGGAACACTTAGGCGTGACAATGGCTGGGGCTACATGGTTGCACAAACATGAGTAGGTGTGTGGGGGAGCATGCATATCAGGTTTATGTCTTGGAGTACAATCCGACTGCACTGGCTCACCTCTGTGTACATGGTGGGTGTTCAAGCTGGCCTTGCAACTTTGGAAGCAGTATAGTATAGCAGGGGGTTGGGTACAAACTCTAAAGTCAGGTGGGTCCTGGCTCCACAGTTCACTTACAATTTGTTCAATGAATGGCAAATTGCAATCCTCTCTTAGCTTCATTTGTAAAATAAAGATAGTAACAGGACCTAGCCTGTGGGGACTATTTAAGGGCCCCAAATCATAGATAAAGTGTTTGAGACCAATGCTCAATACTCAGCAAAGGTCTGATACATTTGCTGATTTACTGAGTATCAAAAGAATCATAGGACCTTAAGTGACCCTAGGAAATGATTGCTCTTGTCTTGGTTTCCCCATCTCAGTGCCACCACACACTCCAAGTCCTATAAGTAAAAAGGTCAGCAGGAAAAGAGCCAAATCTTAGAGAGCAAAGGCTATGTTCCTCTGGGCTGGGAGCCTGGCTTCCTGTAGGGCCTCAGATCCAGTTTTTTCACCTGTTCCGAGTAGGTCTGGGCCTTCGAGATGGCAATACCTAAGCTGTGGTGGCTCCCAAGACCTGTGTTGCATATCTCACAAACAGCTCCTCCAGCCTCTCCCTGATCTCACTTTTCTGCCCAGACCAGTGCTTGACTCCATCCCCCAGCAGCTCCTGCCACAATTTTCCCTCCTGTCCCTACCTCCTGCAAGAAAGAGATAGAAAGGTTTTATGTTCCTCACCAACAGATACATTCTACGCAGTCTCAGGCCCAGTGACCAATGTATCTGGGTCCCTAGGGCAATAAAATAAATACATAAATAAATAAATAGGAATACCGGACTAGAATGTGGTTTGTGCTTTGCCTAGCATGCGTGAAGCCCTGGGTTCAGTTCCTCAGTACCACATAAGCTGAAAAAGCCAGAAGTGGTGCTCTTTCTCAAGTGGTAGAGTGAGCAGAAGAAGCTCAGGGACAGTACCTTCCCCCCTCCCCCAAGACCCCTGTGCTTGTCCCTACCCTCCTTCTGGCCTCAGAACCTGTCTTTGGCTAGATAAAGTACTATTACATTCCCAGTATAGTCTACGCTGACTGCTCAAGCACCTCATTTATCAGACCCTTTTCTCCAGCTCAGACCATCTTGGGGAAAGGTGTCAGGAGAATCAGGTGACCATAGCAGCCTTAAAGAAAACACAAAGAATCCACCGCTGCTTAGTAGTCTTGGAAATTCAAACATGGCAGACTTCACTTAAAGAGAACTTTTTTGGCAGCCTAGATCAGATGAAGTGTCAACCCCAGGATATCCTTGGGGGAAGGCAAGGTCACCTGACTTCACAATGATCAATCCATACCTAGCTGGAGGGAGAACCAGGAAAGATACCAGACTGGCAGAGACAAAAGACACCACGAGTAGCTTTACAGGGTTCAAATTTAGGTAGCTCTGGCAGAGAGGTCCAAAATGGGCCAGGAAATGACCCAGAAGGACAGATTCAGATGTGGTGGCAGGCAGACACGGGGGTGGCAAGGTGGAGAAGGGGGAGTGGCAGTTTTCTTTCCAAGTTGCCTCCTCTGAGGAGGGAGAGGTAGAAATGAGGTGTTGCAACGGCGGGAGGGGGGGGGTGCAGAAGCCAGGGAGGTGGGGCGGTGTTCCGGGGCCGGGGAAGGAACCCAGGAGCTTCAGTCCCGCCCCCTCCTGGCGCTGGGCGCCGCCCCGCCCCGGCTAGCCCCGGCAAGTCTCCCCCCTCCCCTCCACCCCTAACCTCCCCCCCCCCCACGGTCCCCCCAGCTCACCTCCCGCTTATTAAACTGCAGGTGAACCCAGGAGCATCTGGCGCTGCGCCAAAGCCTCGCGGTTCCACCGCTCCAAACTCGCCCCCAAGTTTCAAAGACCCCAGGTCCTTCTCCAGGCCACACGGGCCAGAACCAGGAGCCAAACCAGGACGCCTGGGCTCGCTCAGTCTAGAGGGATCGGGAATGACCAGAGGGGACACCGAGGCCAGGGAGAGGGCGGAAGAGCTCGCCCAGCCTCATCCGAAGCGGCAGGGGTGAGAACCCCAGCGCCTGCCCGCGTCCCTAAGTGAGCCGGAACAGAAGCCAGGGCTGCGGAGTCCCCTTGGGGACCCGAGGGTCAGCGGGAAATGCAGGCTTCGGGGAGAGCGAAGGATCTCGAATCCCAAGCTGGGGAGTGAGCGCTCGTTGGCGGCGGGGAGCGCCCGCCCGGAGCGGCCCGTGCCCGTGCTTGGAAGAAGCCAAGGCCTTGCCACTTGGTGTCAGCTAAGCGCGCGCGCGCTGCGGGGCGGGGCGCGGGGCTGGAGCGGGGCTGGCCTGACGGCAGGGGGTGGGGTGGGGTCCCCAGACAGCTGCGGCGGGACGGTGGCGAGGCCGTGCGGGGCGCGAGCGGTGAGATCGCTGGGTGAGAGGGGGCTGGGGGCGCCCTCTCGCAGAGCTGCGCGGCAGGGGCAGGAGCCGTCTGCTGCGGCCCGCGGGGATTAGTTCGCGGCTGCATGCCGCCACACGCGTCGGGCTGGGCTCGGCCGGGTAGAAACAGCGCCCGGGGCGCGCGGGGGAGGGAGGAGGGAGCGCGCAGAGGCGGGGCGGCGGCCCGGGGCCGGGCTGCCGAAGGCTGGGGTGGCCTCTCACTTGGGGGCCCAAGAGATGTTAAGCGCTAGGGTCCCGGAAAGAAGGGAAAGGCTTTGGCTGGATTCTTTCTGAAGTTGAGGTGCACAGAAACCTGACTCGCTCCACCCCAGAAACCTTAGGCCCCGAGGGAGGCGACTTAATATTTGGGCATTCCCCCTGCTGACTGACCTCTTCTGCTATCAACTAGGATTAGGGGCAAGTCCCTAGAATAGAGTGCTACCTGTCCCCACCCTGTCCCATCCAAGCAGCTGGGAGAGCACCCCAGGTAAATACCCAGCTAGGCAAATTCAGGAAATAGGGCACCATTTTGCCCCCTCCCCCCCCCCCTCGCCCCTGATTCAAACCCCTCTAGGGATTGTCTGGGTAGGCCGTGGGTCACCCAGAAATCAAGGAAAGAAGACAAAGTGTGGGCTGCAGTCTGTGCACCTTGGAGCTGTGAGGGGTTGACAGGACTGTTGTGCCACCATGCCAAAGCTGGCACACACCCAGTGCTCTGGTTCCGAAGCTTGGTGGTGGACCCTGCCGACAGAGCTTTTGCAGAAGAACAGACCATCTACCTGCCCATGCTTGGTGCTTCCTCTTGGGCAGGAAATTCCTACCCCCTCTCTGCTGATGGTAGGTGCCTCCTGGAAGGCCCTTTATCCTAAGTGTGGCTTGCTAAGTAAAGCACAGATTGAGGTAGGTAAGAGATGGGCATATTTCCTGGGCCTGAGGTAGGCAGTGTCACTGACAGGGCAGGCTAATTCCAGAGCCCAGCGCTCAGGTACAGAATCTGCCACCAACCCTCAGCCATAGCCACTTTGGTCCCATTTGTCTGCACGTTCCCCCCTCCCCCCATGGCTTTCCAGAGACTAGAAAGAAGCAAGAAAGCAGCAAGGCTGGCAGATGTGAGGGCTTGAGGGGCTGCCAGCTTGATAGTCAGTTAGGGATGGCTGGCAAACAGGTTCTAGGGTGGAGGTGCTGGGTGGGCAGGGTAAAGCAGGGGTGAGGGCAGCTACCTCTGCTGAAGATGGGACTCTCGTAGGGAATCTTGTTGCGAGTCTCCAGGCTAGAACAGTTCCAGCGCTGGTCCCGGAACTGGTGTTGGCATTCATGGATGGCAATCTGGATGCCCTGGATGGCCGAGGCCGCCACGTCAGGGTGACGCACACACACCTCCATCTGCCGCCGGCTCAGGCCGGGCAATGTCAGGCACACTGTGTTGGCGTTGAGCACAGGCTCTGGGGGAAGGCGGAGGCCCAGGATGTCGTTGGGTGCTGACCTGCAGGCATATAGGGTGGGGTGGGTAAGCAAGGGGGGTGAAAACATGAGGGCCTCATTTAATAACACACACCTCAAAGGCCAGAAACACTCCAACTCCAACTCCCAGTTCAGGAGGCTGGGCCCACCAGTGCACTTTTCTTTAACCACCACCACAACCAATCCACCACCACCACCTACCTCTTCCTCTTCCCCCTCCTCCTCCTCCTCCTTTTTCTCCTCCTCCTCCTCCTCTTCCTCCTCACCACCTAGTCATCCTCTATGCCTGCCACTGAGCCCACTCCCACAAGCATGTTGCCCGCCATCTGTCACATTGACTCAAGTACACTTCACACACTGTGGTGGACAGCCCTGGGAACACATGTGCACACGTCACCAGACACACACAAAGACACACGTTTATTTTCTATATTGACCCATGAGCGCTCAGCATCATGCATGTATACATACCAACATACCAACACAACTTGTTCGTGAACACATACACACACTGTGCACACCCTTTATGACTGCAGTCCCTCATTGACCCCACCTAGGATTGGATACCACCTCCCAGTCCCAGAGCCCCTGTTGGGGTGGATCTGCCAGGTGGAACTGGTAGTTTGAGTTTATGCCTGGAGTTAGGGGGTGGGGGTGGGGGTGTTCAGCCAGGATGGCAGGAACTCCCTCCCTCCACATTCACCTCCCCTCCTAGTTGCCATCACTCCCCTGGGCACTGCCCTGTCTCCCTGGACTCTGCCCATATCCTGTCACCAGTCCAACCCCCTCCTCTCAGGGAACTGCCTCACTCCCTGGAGACCAGCATTTCGCTGTCCCTCCCTGGTTTCAGGATCCCAGCGCCCGCAGGCGCGCCAGAGGCCCCTGCCCCGGGGGTCCCAGCTCTCCAGGAGGGCGGAGCATGAGGTGAGGGCTCACCTGGGCACGGCGGCAGCCAGCAGCAGTAGGAAGAACAGGAGCGCCCAGAGCTCAGGCCGCGGCTGGGGCCGGGGTCGGAGCCGCAGCCAGGGGCGGGGGTGGGCGCTGCCCATGGCGCGCGGGCCGTGCCCGGCTGGGAATGAGGGGCTCACAGCCCGGCGGGACTGGCAAGCCAGGGACGACGACGCATGATCAGCAGGGGTCGGGGCGGCTGCCACACACAGCTCCGACTCAGGTCACGGCTCCTGGAGCAGACGGCGCCCGCCTCCCCGCACCATGGGGCAGCGCCCCCGGGCACCGCCCTCGGGGGGGTGTGGGTGGGGAGCGGGCGAGCCGGGCACCTCCTGGCACAGGGGTCCAGGGAATTTCCCGAGGCCCCCTTGCGACAACTCCTGGTGTCTCTGGCGGCTAGGAGGGGGGGGGGACCCCCGGAGGTGCAGCAGGCTGGGGACTCAAGGCTGGGGTGCCGAGGAGCCCCCCCCCCCCAAGCGCAGCGCTGGAGAGCCTGCGCGTCCCAGGGTGCGCGCGGAGGGCGGAGGGGGTGCAGGGGGGGGCGACGCTGGCTGCGCCCAGCCCCACAGCCCGGAGAATGTGTGACTGTCCTGACTCCCAAGCTGGGGCGCTCTGCCGCCTCCCCCCCCCCCCCCACACCCATGTAGTGTCTTAGAGCTCTTCCCCACGTGACGTCACGGGGTGGAGGCGTGCGCGCGTCGTCGCTAGGCCACTGCGCCGGCTGAAGACCAGGGGTGGGAGCCGGAGGGCAGAGGCCAGAGGAGAGAGAGGTGTTGGGGTTGGTGCACCCCGAGTGGAGTTGGGGAGATGCAGGGGCCGGAAGGGCTGACTGGTCTGTGTACGCCTGTCAGGCTGAGACAGGCAGTGCTGGGGAGCGTCCCGCCCCACCCCAGCCAGCACACACCTGCGGGGGGGGGGGGGACGGGAGAGGGGGGCTGGCCCCTGCCTCCATGGATCAGAAGGGACCCCACCCCCACCCCTACACCAGCCTGCCTGCCTGGGGAAGCAGGTGTGGGGTCCTAGGATGGGATTTGACAGCCTCTGGCTTGTCCTGCCCTTTGCTGTGTGACCTTAAAGAGGTACCTTCAGAAATGGAGTGAATGAGGCCCACCTCATCTAGGCACGGGTCCACTAAAAGGCCAGAGCGCCAGATCTCTAATAAATGCTTCCTTAGGGAGCCAAGCACCCTGGTTGGGGGAGGGGGCATTTGAGAGACCTTACTCCTAGAAGCAAGTTTTGTGATCATTTTATTTAGCCTCCCCTCCCCCCCTTAGTATCTTTCACAAGATACTAAGACTCAGAGAGGGTCATGACTTACTTAAGATGACACAGCTAATGAGTGGAAGAGTTGGAACTGATCCACTTCCCCCGGGTCCTTGCATGAGTGCTGTCTGTCTCCCCAGGCATGGTCTGAGTTTTGCGATGGCTTTCTGAGCTCCTTTCTTCCTTAGCAGAATACCAGGCCCCTCCTCCAGACAGGGCAACTGTTTTTAGCCCAGGTGAGGCCTGAGACACCAAGGGCTGGAGGCTATGGCTTCTGTTTTAGGCTCTAATCTTGGCTCTGATAATAAATCTTGCTCCTTAGTGCTGTAAAATGGGCACAAGCCTCCCACCCACCACACATATCCCTCCCCCTCCTCCTCCTCTTGTCCCCTCTCCCTGAAGAGAAATCCTCCTGGCTTAGGGACAGAACTACCAGAGCCTCTGGGCTCTGAGTCAGAAGGGGCCCATTCCTGGAATTGCCCATCCTTGGGGAATTGGAGGAGAGAGGAGGGGCCTTTCTTGTCCCCAGACTGTCAGGTGGTGGGGGTGGCCTGAGCAACAGCAGGCCGATGCATACTCCCCCAGTACACCCCCCCATCTTTGCCTGCAGCAGCCACCGCAGCTGTCAGGAATTAAGGGCTTGAGGCTGCTGGGGGTGGGGGTAGGGTAATAGGGGAGCAGTCTGGCTGGACAGCAGGAAAACAGCCGGGGGCAGGAAGCAGACTGCGTCAGCCAGAGCCTTGTTTGACCCTAACCACCCCCTGCCCTCCCCTCTCTTCCCCACTGTGCTTCAGGGAGGGGAGCAGGAACATCTTGGGGCTAGAGTTTGAAAAAGGGGGGTAGGTTCCAGCTAGAACCAGACCCAACCAGCAAGGAGGCTGAGCACAGGGTTGGAGAAGACATTGGTGGGCTGCACTGTAGCTCCCATTGGGGAAACTGAGGTCCCAGAATGGGTTGAAGCTAACACAACAGGGCGGTAAGGTCATGCTCGGGTTTCAGAGTTCCTTGCTCCCAATTCAGTGCTCACACTAGTCTTTCCATGTTCTGTGCCCTGTATGTATCCCTTGGGATAGGCCATTGTGGGGAATACTGATTCCCTACACAGCTAACACGCCTTTCCAGGCACAAGGCTGTGTGTGTGCAGGGGTGGTCAGAGTTTTCCAAGTGTGCTGCTGGGGGACCACCTTTAGGTTATTCTGGGCCTGGGTGCTGTCCCTGAGCTCTTCAGCTCAAGTGGAGTGCTTTACCACTTGCATCACAGCACCGCTTCCAGTTTTCTGGTGTTTAATTGGAGATAAGAGTCTCACAGACATTCCTGCCTGGGCTGGCTTTGAACCGCTATCCTCAGATCTCAGCCTCCTGAGTAGCTAGGATTCCAGGTGTGAGCCACCGGCACCCAGCTACTTCCATCTCTTTCTAACGAGGGGTATCTCTTTGCTCTCCCACCTGCCCTGTTCCTGAAACCCTGGGGTACAAAGAAGAGACTTTTTCTTTGAAACCCCTATGAGATAAATGAAGATTCCTAAGACTTTTGTCCTTAATATGATTCTGGCCTAGTGGCTATGAATGCCCAAATCTAGAGGCCCTCACCTCAATTGAGGGAGGCAAAGCTGCCGTAGACAGGGTCTTGGTGTGTATGGTGGTGAGGCTTTGAGTACACTGTCCCTGGGGCCCTAGCCCCATATAACCCTCACCATGGCCAAGCCCCTATCTGCATTCCCCCCCCCCCCCACCAGTAGTCCCCACCCCAGCCCTGCCCTTGGTCCTGGCCCTCAGCCCAACCCCAGCCCCCGCAGCCTCTGCCTGAGACCACAATTACAGGGTCCACTGGGGGGGGGGATGGGGGAGTGGGGGAGATGAAAGGCTGCTGGGAGAATGGTTCCAGCTGTGGCAGCTCAGGGGGAGGTCTCAGAGAAGAAGGGCAGGGGGAGGCTCCAGGATGAGAGCAGGTGGGACCCTCACAGCTCCAGCTCAGCCCAGTCCAGCTGAGGCTGGGCCTTGATGCTCTGTATTGGTGAAGAAGAGAGGGAAGGAGTCCCAGACGTACAAGGGTGCCCGCTGGCCTGTTGCTCAGTCCTGCAGCAAGGTAAGAGGGGGAATAGCTTGCTACTTCCCTCTCTCCCATCTCCTAGTGTTTGGGCATTGAAGGGAAAGGGAGATATGTTCTGAGCTCTTGGCCTCAGGCAGATCCTAAGCTTTCCACCCAGCCTCCTCACCCATCTGCCTGAATTCTGCCATTCCGGTGTGGTCACGCACACATCTGGGGTGGCTCTGTACTCCTCCCCCACCTCCCCAGCTCCACATGTCCTCCGTCACTCAGCCAGCAGGGGACCTAGCCTGAGCCTGGGGCTGAGCAGCTGGGTGAGCAAGCAGGGGGACCAGTAGGGTTCTGCTGAGCTCTGCTTCTGACCTCTTTTCCCAGACAGCAGTGCAGGAGCACAGAGCCATCTTCAGGCTTAAAGAGGACGAGGCTAATGGGTCCAATCATGCCTGGTGGTCCAATCACTGCCACCCTTCACAGAAAGCAATTCTCTGACTTGGGATCTGGTCATAGAAAATGGATCACCGTCTCATGACTAGCAATGGAAAACTTCAGTGCACTCTCACCCTGTGCTAAGAAGCGGTTAGACATCTCTATTTTGTGATGGAAAGACTGCACTTGAAACAAGTGAATGGACTCTACCTAGTTCAAGCTCTAAAACAAAGCCTTTTTCATGGTACCATACTGTTTCACTAGGCTTCTTTTCAACCTCCTCGGGTTGGTGCTGGCTCATGCTGCTACTCCCAGGTTCCTTCTCTGGCAATGTGAAGAATGAATCCCAGCATTACCCATCCCATCACGACCAACTAGGATTAGGCAGTAGTGGAAACTGGGAGTCTAGCATCCCAGCCCTAGGTCTGGCTAGCCTAAAGTTCCCATATAGCCTAGAACCCTGGCAGCTTGGCCAAGCTGTTGGTGAGTTGCTTCCTGTCAGTTTTGCCTTCAGCTTCCCATTGCTTTGAATTTCCTAAATATCTGGCACCTCCTGGCCTCTGTGAGTAGGGAAGCTGGGCTCTGGGCCCCCTCTTGTGGTCCCTAAGAAAATTGCAGGAGATTTAAAAAATAAAATTCTGGGTTGAGTATGCAGGTCATGGGTCCCATCCCCAGCAGAGGGAAGGAAAGAGAAAGGGATGGGAAGGAGAAGGGAAGGGTGGGATGGGGTTGGAGGGGGGGAGGGGAGGAAGTTTAGTGCAAAGTCCTAGAAAAGGCAGAGATGTGACTATAAGCCCTGCCCTTTAGGAAGCTGAAGGCAACGCTCTCTGTTGGAAGTTAAAAAGAGCTTACTTTGGCAAATGGGTTCCGAGTCCAAAATCATGATCTTTCCCTGCAGGCCAGACAGTGGATCTTAGAGCTAGGAGAAGGCAGAAAGGAAACTACTGATATTTCTTCCCCCCCCCCCCCCACCCCCAGCCTGACATTCTTCCCCTACAACATGCCTGATTTGAGGTCTGAGCCCATATGCCTGCCTGAGTTAATGAAGGTGCACAGTGAGAGGAGGATGGATGTAGTAGAAGCCATGGTTAGGGTTTGTCACAGCTAAGGATGAGATAACCTTCCTTTTTTTTTTTTTTTTTTTTGCCTGGGTGCTGTTCCTGAGCTCTTCAGCTCAAGGCTAGCACTCTACCATTTGAGCCACAGCGACACTTCTGGTTTTCTAGTGGTTAATTGGCGATAAGAGTCTCATGGACTTTCCTGCCTGGGCTGGCTTTGAACTGTGATCCTCAGATCTCAGCCTCCTGAGTAGCTAGGATGACAGCTGTGAGCCACGGGCTCTTCTATTCTATTGAAAGAGCTCTGCTTTCCTCTTTGAGCCCCCATTCCCTGAGAGCCTATGGGGCTGCCAATCACAGTTCTGGTACATTTCTATGGACACAGTTCAGGCATTGGAACAATGACAAGGCCTTAGTTAGGAATTCTGTAGGTAAGTAGGAAGATTGTCCTTTTTCCTTGAGGGAAGCATCATTGTCCCTAAGAATGTAGGCATAGAACAGTCACATAGAAAAAAATGCACCAGAGGAGAGAATGAAGATAATATGCAGAGAGAGAGAGAGAGACAGGGTAAGCAGAAATAACAGATGAGGGGATACAGGTTTAGAGTAGGTGGAGAATGATCTCCAACATTGAGCCCTAGGTTCAGCTAAAACTGAGTTCAGACTGAATGAATGGACTTTCCATTGTGTGTGTGTGTGTGTGTGTGTGTGTGTGTGTGCACGCATGTGCGTGTCAGTACTGTGACTTGAACTCATGGCCTTGTACTCTTGCTTAGCTTTTTGCTCAAGACTGGTGCTTTTTATTAGTTAATTGGAGATAAGAGTCTTTGGGTGCTGGGAATGTGGCTTAGTGATAGAGTGCTTGCCTAACATACATGAAGCCCTGGGTTCAGTTCCTCAGTACCACATAAACAGAAAAAGCTTGAACTAGTGGCTCAAGTGGTAGAACACTAGCCTTGAGCAAAACGAAGCCTAGTGCCTAGGCCCTGAGTTCAAGCCCCAGGACTGGCAAAAAAAAGTCTCTGGGATTTATTGCCCATGATTGGCTTTGAGCTGCAGTTCTCAGACCTCAGATTCCTGAGTAGCTAGGATTACAGGTATAAACCACAGATGTCTGGCTGGACTTCCTATTCTTGAACTTTTTGGCCTATTTTAAAAAGTTGAGCATCTTTATTTGCAATCAGGGCCTGTACAGTATCTGCAACATATCAGCCTTCTATCCTCATTTTTACATTAAACTACCAGTTATCAAACATAAACATGACATATATTATGTCAGACACTGAGTTTAGTGCTTTTCATGTTTCAGAAAAAATTCTCAACATTTCTATGAGTAGCACAGATAAAGATGGCAAGCTCCTTGTCACTCCTTCTACTGTGAGATGAAGACTATTTGCCTTCCCTTTGAATTTTGGCTGCCTTTTCATTAAAAGAGACAGTGCTTCTAAGGAACATCTGAGGTTGGAGCTGAGAAGACATTTATCGTTTCTATCATTCAATGTGATGGCAACTTTTGGCTCATCAGCTATCATATAGAGAAATATGAAAGAAGACAGACTGTCTTACTGCCTTAAGGCCACCATGCTGTAAGGAAGCCCAAGCTTCTTTACAACATGGAGAGAACAAGACCACTGGAGAGGCTCTGAGGTCCTGGTATAGAAATGAAGTCTCTTAGACTATCGGACTCAGTATAGCCCCAGCAGAAGATGATCACGTGACTGACCCTAGCTAATGGGTTTGCCTCATGTCAGTTCCCAGTTGAGCTCTGCCACATTTGACTTAAACGAATCCTGAGAAATAGTTACTCCCAGTTCTTTGTTATGTAGCAATGTAATTGTAAGGCTAGGTTGTAAGTGTGTAAGCAGCAGTCAGTACCAGCTTCAAACTCAGGGTGCTTGGAAATCTAAAGCTCGTGTTATCCTACATATCTTGAAGGGGAGTTATTACCCATTGCAGTATTTTCCCTGGGGAAAAGTGGGGAGGACTGAATCTCCACATTTTGGTTCTGTCCTCCAGCCTCATTCTATCTGGAAGAAGATAGGGGTCTGGGCTTTAGCTCTGGAGAACCCAGAACTGCCGCTATGTCCCTTCATCCCCAATCACCAGCTTCCTGAGAGGAACCAGAGGAAGGCCATCTGGTTGGCTGCCCAGAAAACCTTGAGACAATCTTGCTTTTCCTCCAAGGAGGATTAGAAATGTTGTGCTAGACAGTCTTTGTAGAGATGGGGGGTGGGATGAAGTTCGTTTTGATAAACTGGTGTTGGTAATCACCTAGTTTCATCATATTCTACAGTTTATAAACAGCTTTAATCCCATGGAGTTGGATGGCCCCAAAAAGTCTACACTTGAGTTCTCCAAGTCACAGAAACAAATACCATGACCCCAACATTAAAGCAAGGGCTGGCCTGAGAGCTGAGTACATCACCAAAGGCTTTTGGTCCCTTTTCCTGGACACTCTATCTCTGAGCCTTTAATGAGGGATCACTATTTCTCCTACCCAGATCCAGGCCCTTTAAGGGAAAAGAGTGAGCACAACAGTGCCAAGGAAGAGATACAAGGTTCCAGTAAAGCCTATTTTATTGCTGTGGGGGAAGATGGAGACTCAGGGTGATGACCCTTGCCATGCTAGTTCTATCGAAACCATCTCCCTTTACAAACTCTTTGCAGAGCCTTGCATTGGCAGCTCATGGAAGAATCAGCTCTCCTCCCAGACTGTGGATCCAGTCCTATTGGTTTAAATAATGTGCGTGTGCTTGTGTGTGTGCACATGCACACCAGTACTGGGACTCAAATGCAGGGTCTGGGTGCTGCCCCTTAGCTTTTTCGATCAAGGCTGGCATTCTACCATTTCAGCCACAGCTTTTAGCTGGCTAAGTGGAGGTAAGATTCTCATGGAAGTTTCTGCCTGGGCTGCTACCAACCCTGATCCTCAGCTCTCAGCCTTCTGAGTAGCTAGGATATGTACTGGCGTGAACTACTGGCGTGAACTACGGGCGCTGAGCTGGTTTAAATATCTTTATTGATACTAAACTCACCCACATCCATCTCCCTTGGCCAGCAGTTCTTGAGGAACACCATCTCCAGAGACCTAGACACTGGCTTTTCCGTATCCACCTGGGGTCCAGGGGTAGGGAAGGGCCTTTATAGTCACCCATCCAGCGTGGGTTGCATAAGGACACCCCATGTCCCTAGCCTCACAGTTTCTGGAGGCCGACAAGACCGACTTCCTTAGCGATCGGCCAGTCTGCCCGATAACGCCCCCTGTTGGCGCTCAGAAGTCCCGCAGGTCTCCGTTTGGAGAGACAGATAGGTGGCGCAGGGTCAGAGGCACAGGCTGAGCTCCTTGCGCACGCGGCAGCGGTGGCACTGCACCACGCAGCACCAGTGGAAGCGGCACAGGCAGTTCTCCTCCAGCTGCACGCTCTCCTGGCGGTGGCCACGGCCGCAGCACAGCAGGTCGCAGCCGCTGAGGTCCGGGGCGCTGCTGTTGCAGGCGCGGCCCCGAGTGCCGGGCGAGCCAGTGCGCCGATTGGGCGCGCAGAAGTCGGGCGAGTCGGCGGCGTAGAGGAGATCCGCGCGGCCCGGCGGCTTGAGCGTGCGGACAGCGGGCAGCAAGGCTTTGCCATCGTTGGTGCCCATGACGCGCGAGGCACCGTGGAAGCGCTCCAGCAGCCGCGCGCCCACCTCGCGGAACGGGGGCAGCTTCTGCCAGCAGGTGCGCAGCGCGCACGAGCCCGACAGCCCATGGCACTTACACTCGGTGCGCGTGTGGCTTCGCACGGCCTGCGGGAAGCAGAGGAGCGGGCACACATGGGGATGGATGATGGAGAATGGCTGATGATGCCCAGAAATTAAGATCGGGGCAGGGGAGGGGGCGCCAGGTGAACCGAAGAGGGGAAACAAGTCGATTAAAAAAGTAATCATAAACAAGAGGAAGAATGACCGAATTTTCAAAGAAGAACAGGAAAGGGGGTGGGCAGTAAGTTGAACAGAGATTCCAAGGTCCAAAGCTAGAGAATGGAGAAGAACAGGATGGACGCATGGGTGAGATTCTCCCTGGAGGGGGTGGGGAGCGAGGTGGCAGCTGTCGCAGCCTAGCGCTCCTGCCAACCCGGCCTCTTCATTCCTGTCCCTCGCGGCCCCAGGCTGGGCTGATCACACACAGAGCCAGCCGCCTGGACGTCTGTCTCCTCCACCCCTCCCCAACCCTCTCGGCAGGTATGTGGGCCTGTCCGGACATTCCTCTCCCAGGCCCCCTCCTCCCTGCCTGCCTCTCTGCCTGCCGAATGCCTTTGGCTGAACCCTAAAGGACACAGCGTGGCAGGGGATGTCTCCAGAGCATTCTAGAGCTGAGGACTAGGGCATGGGAGGGCCCATCATGAATGTTCTACTGAGAACACGGGAGCCCTCCCTTTGTTTGCTATTAGTGTCTGAAGTTAGGTTCTAAGGTGCACAACCTTATTAGCATATCTGGGTCAGATGACCCAGAAAACCCACCAGGGAAAACTCAGAGGCCAGGCCCCAACTTAACCTACAGATTTGTGCAATCTTCTCCCACTCACTGACTCTACTCTGTCCTCTTTCTGGAAAGACCCAAGCAGATCTCTTGGGGTCCTGCTTCTTTGCAGAGAGGATGTGGAAGCAGGCAAGGCTCTGGGCAGTGGAGCCTCACCTGGAGCTGCTGGGCGGGCATGCCATTGATATGTGCCCACAGTCAGCATTCCTGGCCTATGCCTGGCCACTGTGTACCTCCAGCAAGATGGGCTCCTGGTTCTTTCTCAGAGCTCCTTCTCTTCAGGCCAGTCCCAGCCCCTTCTAGTTTCCCTCTCTTCTCCCATTCTCTCCTACCTCCAGACCCCATACCTCTGTCAACTCTTCCATGCCCAGCCTTTGTGCTTCTCCCCTGCCCCTACCCCTGGTATCCAACTCTACCTCCATGATCTTAAGAATTTTATCCTCCCTACCTTGGTCGCTTAAGGCTCTCAGTCCTATTTCCTGAATTTCCCCTCTCCACTCTGCCCGAAGTCCCATTTAGCATCACCCCCCCCCACACACACACACACCACCACCAATGACACACACTTCTAGTCTGGACTCTGACCAGCCAGTGAATCCCGGTCTCCTCCCAGTCAGCCCAGGTCCCGCCCACTCCCACACACGTCGACACACCCCTTCATTTACACACTCGGTGCCAACACGCCTGCAAACACTGGCACGCACACCCGGCTCCCACATCCGCTCACACTCACCCGCACACTCCCACACTCCCCGCCCATACGCACCAGCCGACCCGCCTCGTTGTTGTGCAGTTGCACCAACGCCCGGATGTCTCCGCGTCCTCGCTTTTGCCGCGCGTCCATAAAGAGCCGTGACTTCTCATCCCCGAAGTCCACGTCGTCGCCGCAGCCTCCCCACTCCCAGGCGGCGCTGGCGTCCGGGGAGCCTGCTGGGCCGGGGGGGCCGGGGGTACCCAGCAGGCTCGAGGGCCGGGGCGGCGCCCGCCCGCGGGGAGCCTGGCAACCACATTGCAGCAGCTCGCCCATGGAGCAGGCCTGTGTGACCGCGTGGCTGGCACCGGCCGCGGTGATGGCAAACACGAAGGCCGTCTCCCTAATGTCTGCAGGGCGAGGGGAGAGGGACCGTGAGCGCACAGCACCACAGCTGGGGCCAGGAATCTGGAGTTGGGCGCTGGGCGGGACCGAGCAGGGCAGGGTGGCTGGTGGCTGGGAACCGTCTGGGAGAGTGGGTCGGTGGCCCTGGGTGCCAAGAGGCGGGGTGGGTCAGGGTGTTCATAGATGACTCCCCCTCGGGGCGTGAAAACACCATCCCCCAGGGCCTGTCCCCACGCACTGACCCTGCTGCAAGATGCGACCAAAGGCCTTGCTGTGGCTGGAGCAGTTCCAGCGGCGGAAGCGGAACTGGAACTGGCACTCGCGCACCCCGAGCCGGGCGCCCCGGGCTAACTCGGCCACCACTTCTGGTTCAGCCTGGCACAGCTCAGCCTGCCGCCCGGCCAGCCGCCGGGCCTTCCTGCAGATACTGGTAGGATCCATGACCAACGGGCTGCCCACGGCCCTGGGGAGCAGAACAGCAGGTCAGACATGGAACTCACAAAAGGAAGGGGTATGGGAGTAGAGGAGAGTGGAACAGTTCCATTCAGCCCACAGCCAAGAGCCGACCAGCCTCTCCCCATCCTATCCCCAACTGGCAGCAATTGAGATTGCAAATGAGATTCATCCTGTTGGTTTCCTTACCATTACAAACCAGAATCCCCTCTTAACAGAATCTAGATTGAAAATAGTTGCAGAGCAAGGAGATTTGGTCTTATACATCTATGTTCATTTTCATTGATAAATTCTTTTTCTTTTCTTTTTTCTTTTTGCCAGTCCTAGGGCTTGAACTCAGGGCCTAGGCCCTGTTCCTGAGCTTCTTTTGCTCAAGGCTAGCACTCTACCACTTAAGCCACAGTGCCACTTCTGGCATTTTCTGTTTATGTGGTACTGAGGAACCCAACCAGGGCTTCGTGGATGCTAGGCAAGCACTCTACCACTAAGCCGCATTCCCAGCCCTTCATTGATAAATTCTTAAAGTATCCTGACTCAGGCTGAAGGCAGCTGGCACCAGGTAAGCCAAGGTTAAAATTCAACAGGCCTAGCCCAAATAGGAGATAAGGAAGAATAACGGGGGGGGTGGGGGGGGGGGGGTGGGGGGAATCAAAGCTTTCAGAGAAAGAAGCCATGTATCATAATGGGACACTAAAGAAAAGTAGGCAATATGAGGAAAGGATCTGGTCTTACTGGACCATATACTGGATACCTGAAGAAAGGCAAGTGACCTTCAGGGATACAGAAAGCCATATTACTATTAGAATGGATAGGGCTGGGAAGGTGGCTCAGTGGTAGAGTGCTTGCCTTGCATGCATGAGGCCCTGGGTTCGATTCCTCAGCACCACATAAGCAGAAAAAGCCAGAAGTGGTGCTGTGGCTCAAGTGGTAGAGCACTAACCTTGAGCTGTATAGCTGAGGAACTTGGCTCAGGCCTAGAGTTCAGGCCCATAACCAAACAAAAACAAAAACAACAAAAAAAAATACACACACACACACTCACACTATTAGAATGGTTTGGAAATGGAGCCTCTGAGAATGAGGCTTACATCTCTAAGGTGGGCCTTCTTAGCATGATATCCCATTTTACTGAACCCAAGAGCACAAGGAAGGAACTGGGGGCTGACAGCATTGTTGGGGAGTAGGTGACACCCTTCTCCAGTGCCAGGATCCCTGGCTTTCCCAGGTCAGGATGGACAGCAAGCCAAGCATGTGCACTGTGTGACATAACCAGGTGAGCAGAGGGGAAAGATGGACAATGGCTTGGTGGAAGAGACCTTATGGGAAAGTTCCACACACTGAGAAATCCCTCCACCCCTACCTTCAGCTTTCTACCTGACAGAGAGCTGCTATTTGGTAGCCATAGGTTGTCTGTTAGCCAGGAGTTCACAGCTGTGGGAAAACCACTTGAATCTATTTGAATATAGCTGGGATTCCTGTATTAAAGGAATATGTGAGCAGAGTCCTGACAGAATAGTTTGAGACTACCTGGAAAGCCCTCAACATAGGGCAAAGAAAGACAGGGTGAGGAAAGGGGGCACAGGAGGGCTGGGAGAAAACATGGAGGAAAATCTTGGCAGATGAGTGTGAAAGGTCAAGGTGGCCTACTTTTTAGTTTTGCTTCGGGTGCGTATCTGCCACACTGTCCCCATTTGTTCCACAAGTACAGGCTGCCCAGGCATGTTCTGAAATGTAATGGTCTTAAATAGCTGCAAGAGGAATTTAGGTCTTAAGGTAGAACTCTCAACACCGAGGGTGAGATGCTTAGAGAAGTGTTTGCAGAAAGACACAGAAGCTCAGTTCTTTAAGGATTCCTGACATACAAGCACACCTTGCAGTCAGGTGGCTGCCACCATCTCTTCCTGCCTAGGTAAGGAAGCAGGCATCTTTTAGGCAGAGACAGCAGAGCGGCCTTTCATTGAGCTTGGGACCTGGCCAGCTCCAGTCCCAAATCTTCCCAATCCTAGAGAAGGGACACACTGGAGTAGTGAGAAATGGGCTAAGCCTAGGGCAGCCTAAGCTGGCTTCTAATGGCTAAATGACCTGGGAGAGTCGATCAGCCTCTATGTGTCTAGCTATCCGTCTATCCATTTACCTATCCTCCTCTGCAGCAAATATCTCACTTCCTTACAAAAAGGATTTGAATGGCCTCTAGCATGGTTGTACAGAGCTAGTGGATAAAGACTGAACTCCTTTAGATTTAAAGACTGTCTCGTTTTCCTTAGTCACCTCTGGCAGACTTTTCAGTGCCTAATTTATTTATTTATTTTGGTCCGGTCGTGGGGCCTGACCTCTGGGCCTGGGCGCTGTCCCTCAGCTCTTCAGCTCAAGGCTAGTACCCTACCACCTGAGCCACAGCGCCACTTCTGGCTTTTTTCTTTTTGCTTATGTGGTGCTGAGGAATCGAACCCAGAGCCTCAGGCATGCAAGGCAAAAGCTCTACCACTGAGCCAACTTCCCAGCCCCTCAGTGCCTAATTTATATCCCCCATTTTACTATATAAATTTGTATAGTGTGAATTTTATATTACATATGAATAACATGCACATGACAAATTAATGAATGTCATGAATCCATGTTTCTGAAGAACTGGATGAGACATTTAAAGAGAAGGACTTCTCTTAGGCACTGCCCCACCCCCTACATGTCAACATATTACTTCATGAATCCTATTTCCTCCAACATCCCCCCACGTCATGGATCTGGAAGCAGAGAAGAGGGATCTCTCCTTAGCTATCCAGCTCCCCAGCCACCACCTGCATGTCTCCTGTATGTCTGGAGCTCTGCAAACTCATCTGCCCCATCCCTACTGAGCCTCTGCTATGTCCCTCAGCCCCACCTCCGTCCACCCCTGCTCTCTGCTAACTCCCTACTTCCCCAAGGTTGACTGGACTTATCTTCCCAAGGTCACTCTGCCCTCTCCCTTTCCTCTCCCTCCTCCTCTTCTAGGAAAGCAGGAAGGAGTGAGAGCAAGCAAGAGAGAAAGGCAAAAACCGCTTGACCTTGTCTGCTTCCCTAAGGCAAGAGATAGGAGAGGAATCATGGGCATAGGACAAACAGGGGCCCCAGGAAGGGGGTGGGGCTGGCCCTTCACACAGGGTAGAGGAGGCTGCAGCAAAGCCAATTTTCCCTAGCTGTCTGGTTCCCTGGGAACTAGGCTTGTTTACAAGCTGGTCAGGAGGAAGGATGGGCAGCACTAACAGCAGAAATCCCAAAGGACCAGCTAGCTCCCTGTCCTCCCAGTCTCCCTCCCATCTTCTCTTTCTCCCTCCCATCCTAAATACACAGGGAATGAAACTCCAAGAAGGAGAAAGGCAGGGGACATTAAGGAAAATGCTCAGTTATGCTTCTGAGTCTGGTTTTGGTCAGTTCTGGGTGGGCTGAGCTACATGAGAAAAGTCAGTACCCTTTCTGGGCTTCAGAAAAAGGATGAGTTGGTGTAATAAGTTCACTTCTCCCACCCCCACCTCAAAAACTGTGACATGACTCCAACTCCAGAACCAGCTCCCCTGTGCCCTCTTGTCTCTTCTTCTTTTCTTTCCTTCCTTCCTTCCTTCCTTCTTCCTTCCTTCCTTCCTGCTTCCTTGGGGAATAAACTATGTTCTGGGGGAGGGGGTAGTTTGTGCTAGCATTGACCTGGGAATCAGTCCAGACAAGATGCATTCCTTTGGGGGAATTTGTATGTTTTAGAATCTGGAGAACAATGGTATTAGGGAATATAGGATATATAAGATCTATGATTCTGACCAAGCTTCAACTCCTGGGAATAGAAAAAAAAAAAAAATGAGGCTAACCCTAAATGAATTCTAAGCAGACAAGAAGGGACAAGCCTAGGGCTGGTGATTCTAATAGGCACTGAGAGGTTCTTCCCAAGGATGACCATGGATTGATGGCCCCATAAGTTGGTACCAGATGAGCCCAGCCAACTCCTGCTTGGAATACTTTTGGGCCTGAGCTCCAGAGGCCCTGGGTTCTGGCCCAAATCTAGCCTTCCAACTCTGGATTTGGAGGGACAAAGAGGATGCACAAGATCCTACCCACCTCACCCTCTGTCACAGTGAACAGATATGAGAAAAGTGACCCACCGTGTCCAGTCAAAGGAAGGATCTCCACTGCAAGAAAAACTAGTTGATTCGGGGACGGGAGTTGCGCTCAAGTAGTAGGCTGCTTGCCTAGCAAGCACAAGGCCCCCGGGGTTCAAACCCCAATACTACTAAAACCCGAATGCTAGAAGGAAATGGCTGCCCAAGGCATAAGATTTCGGGTAACCTCTCCCACAATAGAGATATCCAGCTCACATAGTGCCTGCCCTCTACCAGAGTACTGAATCCATCCCAAGCCATGTCACCAAAGTTCTGACTCAGTGCCATTCTCTCTGACCCAAAGCAACCCAAATGCTTTTAGTCAGCATCTCTCCAAGCTCACTGCAGCTCTTACTAGCTTTGAGAAAACCCCTGGACCCAGACCCCACCTACCTTTCCTCACTGCATCGATTTGAGAATGTTTGTTATGCTGCCAACATGTTTGCTGGTCTTGTCTCCCCAGCTAGGCTGAAACTTCATTAATGACAAGCATCTCACCAGTGGGTATGATGTGATCAGCAAGCATGCTGATGGCTTTGGGAACTCTCCAGAACTGAAGTGAGATCCAGGCTCTGGCCTTTGCTTGTTGTATGGATGTTCAGAGTATCCTGAGCATATGAAGCCATTCTTAACATCTGCTGAATGGATAGTGAGCTTTAACCTCCTGAACCTCTGTTTCCTCCACTGGAAAGTGGAAATAGTAATTCTTGCCTCCTTCCTTGTTTACAAACGCAGAAGACCTGTCCCAGGGCATGTGGTCTACCCATTCACACCTTCAGTTCTTGGGCTGCAGAGTACAGGTCAAGCAGTAGGAGTTCACCTGAGGATTCCTGTGAATGCCCTTTCTTCCAACTTTCTATCCTCACTTCACATCCTGGCCTGGAATCAG